TCGGCAGCATGGAAGTCATTGGATGTGCATGGGTATAACAAGATCCACAGATACTCTGAACAAATGAGCTTATCTGGTGGCTTTGCCCTTTGCGATTGTGGTGACATGCAGGCAACAACACATATGCATACCTGCCCTTTGCGTCCTGAACAGTGTACACTTGAGGACCTGATGGCAGCGTGACAGAACACAATATTGCTAGTTTCTGGGCAAGATTTGTTTAACTCGTACATATTATCATCTTGTATTTTATATTTTATGTTGTATGGTATACCTCGTTTTAATTGTGATGCTTCTGACACAAATAAACAAAGACTAATACCTATTCCAATTAGAGCTTTTTTAGGTGGTGGCAGGGAAAGAGACTAGCGTGGAAGTACTTGGACATTACATTCATTGCACTGTCAAGTCATGTTTTCCATTTAGGTTTCTAGATGACAGATAATATACAATTCCCGCAAGGGAGAAGTGCCAAGCTGGAAAGACAGAAATGGGATTTGAAGTGAAAGCTGGAGGGAGAAAGAAGATTCTATAGTAAAAGCAATATTTAAGTGGGGTGTCTATAATAATTTGTTAATAAAATAACAAAAGATGTAACAATCAAACAGCACTATAATTATAATATTGCATTATATAACATTGTCTTACATTAGAATTCCATTATGCAAACCTTTTGCCTGCAGAAAGCTTATTGCAACAGTTATGGAATCTCAATGTAATTTGATGCTTTAAATTGTACCTATGGTATGTATTGTTAATTTCTTCTTAATATTTCCATCTATCTTTCTCAGAATTACGTTTATGTTGAGACAAAGATTGACTATGGTAGATAAAATTGTGTACAGGCCATTTGTTTAATAATGGTTCAAAGTTCTAATGGCCTCAGAAAAAGCGACCTGCAACTTGTTCTCAAACTGTCACATCATCCATCAGTCATGTGATCACAATTTGGGAATTGGCAGTTGGCTTCCATTTATGATGGTTGCAATGTCTTGCAGTCATGTGGTCATGATTTCTGACCTTCCCAGTCAGCTTGCAACAAAGTTAATTGCAGAAACCAGATTCAGATAACCACTGTGTGATTCAATTAATGGCCATGTTTATTTGCTTAATGACCACAGTAAAAATGATTGCAAAATGTGGTCTGGTCACAATTATGACTTGCTTAACGATTGCATTGCTTAGAGACCAAACTTCCTGTCTCAATTATTATTGTAAGTCAGAGACTTCCTATAATAAAATGATAATCTAGTTGGTTGTTAGTTCAAAGTTCTGAATTTGTGCAAAAGTTTGAAACAATGCTCAAAAAGCAAGTGACACATCTCTGCATGTATGATCAGAGAGAAAAAGTAGAGTTCCTCTTTATGGGGCTATGTGAAAACATCTTGTTCATGAAAATGAATATTAGGAGCAGGAGGTTGTCATGCTTGCAGAGATTTTCTATAGTGTGGATTTTTCTCTCTCAGTCAATTGGACAATTGATCACACTCCTGATCACTGTGTCAAAAAAAAAGTGCATTTAGAAATTTTATATTTTTGGTACTTAAGATCTTATGCCAATTGATGTTCTGTGCAGAAGGAGCAGCCATAACTCACAAACTGCTGTGCTTGTGAATTAACTCTTCTATTTTTCTCCCCAAAAGATAAATTGCTGTAGGCTATTCTTGTTCTCCATGTCCTATTTATTCAAGCAATAATGTAAGAAATTGACTTGCTACGTAAAATGAAGGGCTATTTAATCCAAGGTGTTGCTTGCTGCTGCAGCTAGCTATATACAAAGAGGCTCTGAATGAGATAATTTTATTCTTCTTCCTTATACATCCCTAACACCTAGGAAGAGCAAGTACTATTTCATATTATAATTAGCTATATGAAATTGCCCTAAAAATTATCTTGAGTGCATGTGTGTGCATTAGGGGGGGCCACTAGCTTTTCTGCTTCCATAACTTTTAAAATCTTCCCAACAGCTCACCAGCCATATAGTTTTAAATGGGCATTTTGAAAATCAAAGGGAGATCAAAACTTTACTCCACTGATGATGCTATTCAGTAAGAGTTTGGAGTTCAGAACTAAAACAGGAACGAGATACTAATGCTGCAATCCAAAATACATTCCTCTAAGACAGGGGTGTCAAACTCACGGCCTGCGGCCTGGATGCGTCACATGCTGGTTCTGCCCCCACCCGGTTTAGTGAAGGGGGAAAAAGTCCCGATACGTCACGTGATGCCGTTGTGATGACGTGAGTTTGCCACTCTTGCTCTAAGGGATACCAATAATAACAACAACAATATATCTCACCAAAGCATATTTGTGTAAATACAGTATATCATTTTGAAGCAGAATTCCACATTATGTGATAAGCAGGATGTTTTTAATGCTAATGGGAAGATAAGTAGCATTTTCAGGAAACAAAAGAGGAAGGAAGGCATAATTAATTTTAATGTTCCAAAATAAATGAGCATAGAATTGCAGTTGTAATAAACTGCATGTCTGAAGGGGAACTGAAACTGAGTGTCTATACTTCTATGAAATTATTCAGATAGGGAAGGTTTAATCAAAATTAATTATAGTTGATTAATTATACTGAAAATCACACAGATGACATAAAAATGCCAACTTTTGAAATAATAATTAATATATTGGCATGTTCAAATATTGCTAACAGTCAGTAAATAGTATAATCTAGTCATGAGTTTATTTACTCAAAAATAAGTGGACACAATTCTCTAGCGCATGTAGCTTGCCAACCTTTTGATGTAGACCTAATCAGGAAAACAAATACCAGAAGGGCAATTGGAATCCTACTTTATAGTTGAAGGTGTTGGAAAAAAAATCCAGTCTGGTTCCAAGTTGGGAGAAAGATGCTGGAAATAAAATGGAGGCAGGCTGTAGTAAAGGAAGTCTTTGTTTATTTTCTGGCCAGAAACTAGTGACAGCAGCATGTTTCTGGGGTGGCTGAACAAATGAGGTTAGAGTAGGTGGGTTTTATACATTCTTTGGGGCTTTGTGATTGAGATGTCTGTTCCTGTGTAAGAATGTGCCTGTATTATTTTAATGGCTGTTGCCAGATTCCTATGGGGTCATGTAGGGGCCATGGCTGGCTGTACAGGCAAGAAGGCAAATGCAAATCTTAGGTGTTTTGTTTGAGCTAATCTTGTCAGCTTTGACTCCTTGCCTATTGCTTATTTGGAGTTTCTGGTTGCTCTTTGCTTATGAATAGATTGGCCCAATCTTTCTGAATGGATGCAAAATCTCCATTCCTAAAGACCAGCCTCTTCAAGCTTCTGCTTGAGGCTGTTTTCCTATGGCAGGAAGATGGGGGCTGCTTTCTGCCTTTTAAAGATTTTTCTCCATTTCTCCTTTATGGGGAAATATTCTAGCCTTCCTCTTTTTAATATTAAGATTAAAGAATATTTTAATATGGGGTGGGCTTCCTATAAAGGGTATAATAATTGAAATACAAGAGCTTGAGGGAGATCATTTCTTCCCTCTCTTATGCTAAAGAGAATCAAGGTAAAGTAATCTTGAGTTTCTTCTTCACTCATTTCTCCCTTTCAGAGCTAAGGTGGTATGTTGCTAATGGCTGTTGAATATTTTTTTCAAGGCCATCTTCATGTTTCTCTACATAGCCTGTCACTCAGAGTCCACTACAAGAATATTGAAAGTGAAAGTCAAGGCTGAGAATCACTGTCTAATAAAAATATTCAGGATTACAGCCTTGGTTTGAATAAGATTTTAAAACAAAATATATTGTCTTCCATCTACACCCCAAACAATGTAGAATTAATGCTTTTAAAAATTCTTGAATACTGCATATATAGCTAAGAACTTATTGCACAAAAATCATTCAATTATTTTGGAATATAAATGAAACATGCTCTTTCTTTTTATACTTTTAAAGAGAAACTAATAAAGAAAACGAATAAAACATTGTTGAATGCATGCTAGATTTGGTTTTATTTTTATTAAAACAGTCCCTCCCCCAACCTCAACTTCATCTAAGATTTTATTTCTCAACATTTTCTATTGTCCTTTGCATCAATACAAAGCAACTATGAAGTTATGTCATTTTGATTAGCAGTTCTCTGCATTCTCTGGCCTCCCATTTGACTCAGGAAATATCTTTGTGAGTGCCTAAGCAGCTAAGAATGAGAGTAGAAATATCTTCAAAATAAAAATGAGGTGATCAACCTCTTTATCGTCATGTTTCTTTTTTGGCAAGGAAGATCTCATGTTTGTACTAAATAAAACCATTTGAAAATTGCAAAGAAGGGGAGGCGGGAGAAAACTGTGAGAAAATATATAAAAAGAAAGAATATTAAGTAGATCTAAATGTGTTGCCTGCTTCTAATACAAGTGAAACATTAAGAATGGGAAATGCTTCAAACAGATGCCTCTTTACTCCTTCCACAATAACTGAGTTTTATACGAATATTTTATAAATGGGGTTACAAGTTTTAATTCAGATTAATTCATGACAGGCCTATTTAATAGGTGGAAATCAGTTTTACACATTTCCATCTTTCCTCTTAGAGGTGAAGAATAGATTTGGTTAACTGTATTTTTTTACTGGTTGGTTAGTTTACCATTTATTTATTTATTTGCTAAGTTTATATGGCTGCCCATCACACAAGAAGTGACTCTGGGAGGCATACAGCAAAAATATAAAACAATAAACATGTCAAAACAGTCCATTTTTTAAAAGAGAAAGAATAAAAATGCACAAGAGATTATATTAGCAAGGGAGCCATCTCAAGACCTCCCCGGTCCCATGAGACCCCTGGCTGATGACAGAGCCATATTTTGAAGGACTTCTGGAAAATAAGTAGGGATTGCTTTACCTTTAATTGTTCGAGTCTTTGGTTTTCATATTAATCAATCAATATGCTCAAACTGTCTTAAAAATCTTCCACTGGAACCAAAATATTAAATGAGACCCTAGAAGCTTACCAACATTCTTTCCTTTACTGCTCTGAAAATGTGTTTCCTCTTCTCCATAGTTTTGAAGACCATGGACTGCCTGCTAAACACTGGAAAGGAGGGGAGCTACTGTATAACTGTGCTGGAGTTGTTGCAGCAAAAACAGCCTTTCTACTTCTGCAAATGTAAAGTATATTATGAGAAAAAAACAAATTAGATTGTAGTCATCCAGCAGTAATCTATTTAGATTATAATAGTCTTAATTCAGATTCCAATTAAAATAATTCTTCCTTGCTAGGAAACAGTACTTTTTGTATTGGCTGGGACTTTTAGCAACAAGAGGTAAAAAGGCACAATTCTTAGGTAATGTGTTCAAGACATACTTTCTTTGCATGACTTATGTCTAGGGCAGGGGTCGGCAACCTTAAACACTCAAAGAGTAACAAAGGCCCTAACCGGAAGCCCCCCGTTCAATTCTGGAGCCAACTGGAAGTCCGGTTCCCCCACCATAGTGTCTCCTCTTGGTGTGGAGTCCTTTTTCCTCTACCTATCCTAACTGAAAGCCCTATCAATTGTGGAGCTGACTGGCGACAGGGAGCCACAGCAGAGGGATGAAAGAGCCACATGTGGCTCCAGAGCCGCAGGTTGCTGACCCCTGGTCTAGGGAGATTCTCAGTCATCCAGGTCATGGTTGTCCCAAAGGTGCTTTTTCTTAGAAGACTTCTCATCCAAGAAGCTTCTTCAGCTCTGGCTGGATGATGGGGAATGGAAGGATTTTATTTCTTGCAGACAGCTAGTGATTTGCATTTTTGTAGCGAGTCATTAAACTGGAGGTTTATCTGTGGCATCAGGGTCACCTGAGTGGTGCAAATGGTTGTAGAGCCTTCTTTGAACTGTTGAAAGGACTGTGTTGTAGACTGGAGATAGATGATATCATAGATGATGTCATATCCCTCCCCCTCTGTTGAGAGAGGGATGTTCAATTTTGACATAGATGGCCTCTTTGATCCCTCTTCCAAACCAGCGGTCCTCTCTGTCCAAAATGTGGACTTTGCTGCCTTCAAAAGAGTGGCCTGTGTCTTTTAATTGCAGATGGACTGCTGAATCTTGTCCTGATGGGTTTGTTCTCCTATGTTGTGCCTTGGTAAAAGGGCACATTTAATAAACCAGTTGCCAGCAAGCATATACAACCACTACCACCCCAGCATAATTTCAGTTTCACCTAGAAGAGCTGTGCATCAGTCTCCTTAACCTATACTTCCTGCACATTAAGAGAATATACTGTAGGCTTTCTCCCCCCACCAGCTGGTGATTTTTTAAAAATTATCTTGGGTCAAGATCATTATGCCTGACTTATATTATTCTACAAACTTGCTTGTCCTACAATATTCATTCTCACTTTCCACATTTGTTTATATATATAAAATCAGGATAGTTTATTGCGTTTGATCCCTGGCATCAAACTATTATAGCCCTGTAAGGGATCAGAATGCTATTTGAAAAAATTCACAGATGCTGTGTATATTTGCCTCAGATATCTTCAGTTCATGTACTGGCATCTCCATTAAGTAGGGGAAAAATACCCTCTGTCTGAGATATTCTAGAAGCTGTTATTGGTCAAAACAAGCCAGAATTATTACTCTAATGCCCTACTAAGGCAAAGCCAACCTAATAGCCATCTAAACCAGTCCAGGAAAATTTCATCAATCATTGCTTTTGCTGCTTGCTTTGGACTCTAAAAACAATGTTTATAAGATACAAGATGGTACTAAAGGCCCAAATGAAGTTTAGACTTCACTTAAAGTAGGCCAGGAAAACTGGGAAAATGATATATTAGGTGCCAGACCAGCCTAATGTGGGAATATTTAAAATGGCTCAATTGTAATCTGTTTGAAAACTTTTTGAGTATGCTGCAAACAGGAACAAAGGAATAAAAAAAATAAGACCTGTAACTGTGTATGTTAAGTCTGACTTAGAGGCAAAAAGCCTGCCTCACGGGAAGGGAGGAGGTATTCATTTCAATATTTCCTTTATAATCTATTCTATATATTTGAAGGTTTAGGTCATGGTGTCCAACCTTTTGGCTTGCCTAGGCTGCATTGAGTGAAAAGGAATTGTCTTGGGCCACATATAAAATATATAATAGCAATAGCACTTAGACTTATATACTGCTTCATAATGCTTTCAAGCATAATGTACTGTTCAGTACATTTTACTGTACAGTATATTAGCATCATCATTTTAGCCATTGTCTATCCACTGCAGGATGAAGGCCTCTTCCACATTGGTTTTCAACCAATATGGTCCTGAACTTTCTTTTGCCAATTGGGCCCCCAATACTTGCTGATGTCCTCAATACAGTATATGGGACCCTGGACAGCTAGTAATGTGGCCTAACAAGATAATAAACTTTTAATATGATTATGTGATTTATATACTGCACATTATTGTCCAGGACCCCATGCAGCCTGTAAGCCAGGTGTTGGACACACCTAGTTTAAGTAGAAGTTCATGTCTGTAACTGCCTTTTCATATGCAGTTTTAATATGTTCAAATTGGCTATAATAAATTTTGTATGTGTGTGTGTGTGAGAGAGAGAGAGCTGTCATGTTTGACTATATTATGTATGTGTGGTTTACACCCCTCCTCCAGTATCCAACATAACAGAAACTGTTATTGTCCAATAATGCCCAAACCATAAATTCATTACAGCCAACAAACTGTTTGACTATTCATTCACTTTTTAAGATGTTAAATTTGTTAACATCTGACTAGATTTTAAGAAAAGACTCTTACAAATAACTCCATTCCCTGATGGTCAGGGAATTTCTGGTGGAAGTCCAGAAGGTACAGGAATCCCAGTAAAATTCAGGTTTCTTATTAATTAATTAATTAATTAATTAATTATATTTCTATACCGCCTTTCTCCCGTAGGACTCAAGACTCACTTCTTGCTCTATCCTAAAGTAAAGGGATACTACGGATGTACACATCAGATGAATAAAGGCTATTTAAAGTATTTGATCCGGCAGGTATCCAGGTATCAAGTCATTTAGAATCTTATAGATCAAAATAATGAAGTTATCTGAAGTGTACTGGTACAACCCATAGCAACAGTGTTATGTGCAAACAAATGCTCATCCCAGTCTACTTAAGGATCAGAATAACATCTCATTTGTCCTGTTTCTCCCATTCCTTCAAGTTTTTAAGCAAGCTTGTAATCTACTATGTTATTAGAATCAGAACACAGACAAAATTCAGTACCCTAGATATTTTGATTAACAGCATCATAACACAATCCTAAACATTCATGTATCCCAAGGATACATATTCAAAGCAATCAATATCTCTAAACGTTCTTCCGTTAAAAAAAAAATAGGGCCCAATTAAAAACGAAAAACAAAACAAAACTAAAGACCTAGCCAAGCAGACGGAAAATTTCATTTGCAAACTTTTGGGCTGCTAATTAAGGTGCGTGCCGATGATGAACGCCGATTAGCCGGAATAGAAAACGATTTTTGCGAACAATGAAAGTTGGAAAATAATTTCAGTACCACGGACAGTGACCGAGAGCCGAAATCCCTTGTTTCCTTGCATTCCGTCGGCGCTCCACTTATTCGTCGATTTTACAGGGGCTTCTGGCTTCGCGGGAGGATTTTGGCTTTGCAACCTGTGGAGCCAACGTGAGCTCCGACTCCTCTTCGCACCCCTTTCTATTCCGCTCAGAAGCTCAAGAAAATCCTCGCAGGAACCACCCCCTTCGCAGTGGCTCCACCCTTCCAACGCGTCTCAGGCTCCTATGAAGCAAAGCTCAAGTTTCGGTTTTTGGCAACAGACGCCGCCGCTTCCTCCTAAGTCTCTCGAGTGTCTTTGATCCTGTTTGCCAGATGTTTTACTGAGCTGCATTTCAACACTGACGATCCTTAGGGGACATAAGGTAGCTGAGGTCGGGGCTAAACATTTCAAAAATAATTAGCGGGTTTGGATTTTTTATAATTGTTTGCTAAAACGGACTTCCTCATAACCTTCTTCTAAGATTTACAATCCCGAAGTTGGACTGCTTTGACCTAGTCGAAAAAGGTGGCCGTAGGAACTGGTCGTCGCTGATTAGTGTTACCCGCTTTCTGACGCCCAGTGACAATCTCCCGTTTCTCACAGCTATGTCCGCGGGTCCCGACGTGCCTGTTACAAGAGTGCCGGGGATCGTCTTCAAGCTCTAATTGGCGGGCGATGGAACCTCGGCGCCCCCTGCAGGAGGGGGAATCCAGCGCACCCTTTGGGAGAGTGCGGCGTTGAAACGTGCCAGGATCTCCCCAAGAGCTTGAAGGCGCTTTGATCGCCGCCGCGGCTCCGACCTCCCTGCCTGTTTTTCCCATCTACACACTTTTCTTCTCCCGCAGTTGCTTCTGAGGTCCAGCGTCTTTGGACAGTTGCCGAGCTGGAAATAGGGCCACTTCGCCCAAGTAGACGCCTCCAAGGGTAAGTGGTCTCTCCCAATACTGTCCTACCGTGTTTCAGGATATTTGCCTCCCCTCCCTCCTCATTTTTCTTCTGTCCCTCCCGGTTATAAAAGATCCGTCCGACAAACATACTGTTGAGTGACGTGTGTAGTGATAGCGCTGGATATCTGTGTAAACGGAGGAAGGAGAAGTCGAAAGAGGCATTTCCTTCTATCCAGATCTAATTGCACGGAGGTCTTTTAGTGTGCAAAAAGAAGGGTGGGGACTGACCGTCCTGATCCTCTCCTTATGGACGGATTTTCTCTTCTTGCTGTGACACTTTCTCCTCTCCTCTTGAGATGAGGCACTCGCTTTTCCCTAAGATCTCTCTCCCCCCACCCCCCGTCCTTTCTAAAACCGCTTGCTAGTTTTGGGGTCTACACATTTGGCGCGATCACTAGTTAGAAGAACAAACCAACATGGAGAAGGGACATGCAAAGTGGGACAGGAAACTGATCCCTTTGTATGATTGTATCTTTAAAAACTAGACTTCCTTCTTCTCTTTTCTTCTTCTAGTTCTTCCTCAAAACAAAAGAGTGCTATATTTCTTTTTTCCTCCCTCCTCTCTTTTATTTCTTTACTGATTTAGGACGGGAGAGGTTGGAATTCCACCAGATGGAGTGCAAATGTTTTCTATTTGGGATGCTTTCTATTCTTTTGATTCTCACTCAAATCATCTTGACTCCCATTATCATCAACATGGATTCTCTGCATAGCTATTAGCAGTTATCTGACTTGCATGAGATACTGCATTCAAAGTTGTTCAGAAATCTCAGTGTAAAGGATCATTCTGGCTTCCTTGTTCTTTTCTTGAGTTCCATCTGGGAGCTTCTCTTCCAAGAACTCAAATGACTCTTCCATGTGGCAGATTTATCCATACTGAAAGAAAGCCGTATGGTAAACATTCACCTATGGATATGATCCATCAAGAAATTATATTGAGCATCCATTCATTTATCTGAGCTTCCACAAGCCACTTCATACAATAGTTGCTTATAAATTTTTATTATTCATTCATTCATTTATTTAAATTTATTGACTGCCCAACTCCAGAGGAGCTGCACATCAAATGGAGGACATTATGCTTAGGAGAACTGATATAATTCATAATCTATGGTTTCACTTATATAGGTAAGGACAACGAAAACCAGACTTTTTTTTTTTAATTTGATTTATATGCCGCCCTTCTCCAGAGACTCAGGGCGGCTTACAATGCGTTAAGCAATAGCCTTCATACTTTTGTATATTTATACAAAGTCAGCTTATTGCCCCCACAAACTGGGTCCTCATTTAACCTACCTTAGAAAGGATGGAAGGCTGAGTCAACCTTGAGCCTGGTAAGATTCGAACCTGCAGAAATTGCAGGCAGCTGTGTTAATTACAGGGTGCATTAAACCACTGTACTACCAAGGCTCTGGTTCACTTTGTGTATCGTTGAGTTGCGTGGTTGTTGCTGTCATTCAGACAATTGTGTATTGAAACTTTATCTTATCCAGACTTATTGTGACTGATTCTATATTCCAGTAATAATAACTTTGCTTCAATTTAATTTTGCTTCATATTATTGAAGTTTTCCATTAGCATACAGTTCCTGCAAATCATATTAGAAATTACTGATTTCATTTGATTAACATGATCATTTTCCCCCTATTCATGTCTCATGCATGCCTTGCTTTGCTTTCTTGTGTCTGGTAATATTCATAAAGTTATGGTTAAAGAGATTTCTGAAATAAAATTTTCCCCTGACTCTGTTCCTTTCTTGTATTCACTGTATATTTCATGTATTTCATTGAATCTTCACAGTGACAGCTATCCGGTAATTTTTGTATGTAGCGCAATTACTGTATGGATCATCATATGGAGAATTCTACCTAGAAAATAAAGATTAAATATACTTATGTCCGAATATATAGCCTAATGCTGGCATGATAGTCTGGAACTATTGTCACAACGTATCAGGGAGGCACCAGCTTGGGAAAGGCTTGTTCTCAGCAGTTTTTCCTTGGCCTTCCTATTTAAACAAGATGCTTAAATTTATGGGGTGGGAGGAATTTAGGGAATCAGGGAATAGCATTTAACTGATGATGGAGTATTGTGGCTTGCTAATTTTAATTCCTTTTCTTCCCTTGTGAATTTATTGTTATTATATTACAATTGGTCACACAGTCAGCCAGATGTTTAGACTGGCTTTGGCATTTTTATCCACCTATCAAATCCTCCCCAGGGACCTGGGATAGGCAGATGTTGCTTGATAGCGCCAAAGGTATCATCTCAGGATATAAGCTGTTCCAAGTATAGCCGCCTTTGCAATTGACTGATGGTGATTTTGTCATTGCTGAAGTGGTCTTCCAGTTGCTTTACGATTGCATCCAAGATGCCTATTACTATTGGTGCTTTCTTTTGCTACGTTGTTCTATTTCTATTTGTAGATCTTTTGTGATTTTTCTACAGTTCTTTCAATTCTATTCTGCTGTCTCCAGGTTCTGTTATCTCTTCACAACAATATGAAATCACAGTTTAGCTGGTGTTGGCTTTCATATGCTTCTAGTTCTTCCCGAGAACATGTATTTCATTTATTTATTTATTTATTTATTTATTTATTTATTTATTTATTTATTTATTTATTAAATTTATATCCCGCCCTTCTCCCTGAAGGGACTCAGGGTGGTGAACAGCCGAGAATTAAAATAACATGCAATATAAAAGTTAAAATAATTAAAAATAAATTAAATTAAACGGCCACCCCAATTTAAAACCCCTAGCAATACAATTAAAAACCCCTAAAACCTATTCAGGCCAGGCATAGTATCAGCATAGTATAGGTGTGGATCCGAACAATGTGGCCTTTTGCAAGTTGGAATTTTTGCCAATGCACAGATTATAATCATTATTATATTTTTACCCCACCCTTTTATATATAACTCTAGGCATATAGCAAACATACTGAATACTCCTGCCACCCATTTTCCCCACAATAACCCTGTGAAGTGGATTGGTCTGACAGACTGAGAGAGTGACTGATACAAAATAACCCTGTCAATTTTCATGCTTAAGGCAGGCATAAACCTCAGTCTTCTGACTTCTGGGCCAGCACCTACCTATACACCAAAATGAGTCTCATTTATATGGGTCAAAGCTGGTTTGAAAATTAAGATTCAATGTATTAGAGTACCTGAGAACTAGATCCTTCTTTAAATATGTACCCCAGATGACTTTGGCTTTCTATTTAGCTTTCACAAGTTTTGTTGATCCTCCCCAAAAATTTTAAGAGGAATATTTTGTGTTATGCCTTAAACATTTAGAAGAGAAGTAGAACATACATCTAATCAAAAAGAAAAAAAAGTCTCCTTGCTTGTTTCAACATCTCTGAGCTAGGTAAGGAAATAGTTATTACCAATATTTTCTCATAGCCAGATAATTAATGGAGCAAAGATCTGAATCTGAGTTTTTTGCATCGAAATTTTACACCCTTCCTAAATTCTAGCCCAGAATGATGCTCACATACCAGCAAGTAGTTCCATTCATCTTGGACATTTAAATACATTGGTTTAGGGTTAGGGCACCAGCTGGCTTTCCAAATGCTGATTTTACACTGAAGATCATGAAACTACAACCAGATCTAATCATAGTTAGCATCAAATGTAGCAGTGAAGTTGACCTTGAACATTTTGCTTTCTGAAAAAGGAATTCCACGTATATCAGCCAAGAGAGTGGCAGCTGTATTTTAACTTTCCAGTATTGATCAGAAAAACATCAGAGCTGACAGGCAGGCAAGATTATGTACATGAACCAATGGCCACTGTTGGGTGAAACATAGCTGCCTCACTCTGCTGGATCAGATAGGATTGGCTTTGTGATTTCACTGAACCACTAAACCAGTGTCAGATACAGAATATCTAGCATATAGCAAACTAGTTTGTAAGTACAGGTTGATCCTCAACTTACGATCATAATTGAGCTCAAAATTTCTCTTGCTAAACCAGACAGTTGTTAAGTGAGTTTTGCTCCATTTTATGACCTTTCTTGCCACAGTAATTAAGTAGATCACTGCAGATGTTAAGTTAATAACACGGTTGTAAAATGAATCTGGCTTCCTTATTGTTGTGACCCCGACTCCCAAGCCTGTCCTAACAGAGGAAGAGGACTCAGAAGGTGATGGGGAGGAACTGACAAGGCCTCCCTCTCCAGGACCCTCCTTTCTGGCAATGCCTCAGGTTCCATTCAAAGGCCAGGAGGAACAGCCTGGGATGTGCCAGGAGGAAGGCATATCGGAGCACCAATTGATAGGGAGCGAGGATGGTGAATCCTGGCTTGATCCCAGGCAGCGTCAGAGGGAGAAGCGTGCGCAGCAATGGAAGAGGCGTGGGAGGGCCAGAGATTGAGCTGAGTCATGGAGCCACGCCCCACCAGGAATAAAAGTGGGTGGGATTGCTCTTCTGGCTTTGTGATGGACAAAGTTAAACCCTGAAAGTCACATCATGATCTCTGCAATTCGGCTTGGATATATTTTGGACTGAACATTGACTAAACTCTTGTCTCGTGGATAATTTGTTGCTCCTGGAACGGACTAACGAGATAAATCCTCTTCTGCTTTATGGAAGTGAAAATGGTTTTGGCAGGCATTCGGCAGTTTGCTGCCAAAACCTTGGTCTGCCAAGAATTCTAATCTGTTTACCTAATAAAATATTGGCAGGCGTGCTTGGTATTACGTTTGTCTGTGTGAGGAAGGGGGACAGAACACTTATTGACTTTGCTTGAAAGAAGGTTGCAAAAGCTGATCATATGACCCAGGGACACTGGAACCATCATAATATGAGCCAGTTGCCGTGTGTTTAAATTTTTATCATGCAACCATGGGGATACTGCAATGTGCTAAATAATTATAAGTCAGTGCCATTTCTTCAGTACCATTGGAACTTCAAAAGATCACCAAAGGAAAGGTTGTAAATTGAATGGCTTGTTAATGGGCTTGATTAATTG